CGCTGTGGAAAAATGGATAATATTCCTACTCGACCACATCTTCTAGCAAGCAAAGCCCTTGAAAAAGTCAATCATTCAACCATAGCAAGGTTTGTCAATGATTCTATCAGATTATTATGGCCTGATAGAGATGGTTCTGAAGATGTTTTGATTTTTGTCAGTGATGCCGCTCCGTATATGGTCAAATCTGCAGCAGCACTGGAAATTTTTTATCCCAGAATGCTTCATATTACATGTTTGGCTCATGCTGTTCACAGACTGGCTGAGACTGTTCGAGAAGTATTCTCCTCTGTGAATGATTTAATTTCTAGTATCAAGGAAGTTTTTCTGAAGGCACCTGTGCGCATAAAATTGTATAAAGAAATGTATCCTGATTTGCCCTTACCTCCACAGCCTGTGATAACTACGTGGGGTACATGGATTGAAGCTGCACGTTTTTACGCTAATAATTTTGATGCAATAAAGTCAGTTGTAGATGCAATTGACAGTTCCTGTGCTTCTTTAGTTTATGTCACAAAAGAATTACTACAGGATATCTCTTTGTAGAAGGACTTGGGCCATAATTGACACTCACTTTTCTTTCTTAAGTGGAGCAATAACAAAGCTCGAAACACGAGGTCTTCCCCTTACTGAGGCCATATCCGAAATTGAAAAAATTCAACAGTACATCAATGCTCTTCCAGACTCAGTTGGGAAGAAAGTAAAAGAAAAATGGTGTTTCGTTCAAAACAAAAATTCGGGTTTTGCAGCAGTGAAGAAGATAAAAAGAAGATTTTCTTAATGGAAACGGAACTGAACTTCCAGAGGAAGTAAAACCAATGAGTACGAAATTGTACAAGTTTTGTCCAATAACATCGGTTGACGTGGAGAGGTCATTTTCTGCTTTCAAAATGATCTTTGATGACCGACGACATCAATTCACCCTTGAAAATTTGGAAAAACACTTAGTTGTGTATTGCAACAAAAATTATTCAGTTTAATAAAATCTTTCCGGAAAATGCGATGATTTTTCTTCTCTCATTTATCATACTTCAGTTTTAGGCTTTTTCTTCAGAAATGTGTAGATTCAAGTAAGAAATATTTTGATTTTCTTCCTTTTAACAAAAAAATGTTTTAGCTGTGTTTGTTGGAAAAAGTAATTTTTTTTTTAATGGCGGGCGCTTGGAACTATTGTCTATTGGCCGCAGAAAGTGCCAGAACTGCTAACTCTCTTATCGTTAACCAGTGGGCACCTGTGGCGAAGCCACGTCACACTACCACAACCCGTTTATAAGGAGGGTCACATTCACACACAAAGGAGAAAGGACATAAAACACAGATAGAGAGAAAGAANTCAGAAATGTGTAGATTCAAGTAAGAAATATTTTGATTTTCTTCCTTTTAACAAAAAAATGTTTTAGCTGTATTTGTTGGAAAAAGTAAGTAGTAGTATTTAAATAAGTTGAACTTTTAATTTCTATTTTAAATGCATATTTCTAGTTTTAAGAGAATATATTCAAGTTTTTTAGTGCATATTTGCATGCATATTTTGTCCGTTTTTTAGTGCATATAATCCGCTGTCTAATAATTACTTAATTATTTGTTTTTCCACAAAAATACGTTTAATAAAAAATTTTTTCTGTATTTCTTTAATTGTTTAAAAAAAAAAGCCAGGGGGGTGCAAGTGCACCCCCTTGCACCCCGCTGCCGGCGCCCTTGCAGGCTAGGCTACAATTTACAGCGGAAAAATACTTTTTTGCTACAAAATAAAACCTTACATGCAGAGAAAATAAAAAATATACGCTTGCGGAGCTGCAGGCAACTGATAGTTTATAATAATTCAGTTTCATAAATCAAAAAAATAATCCTAATAACTTAAATTTTAATAAAAAGTTTATTTCATAGCTACTTTTATAAATTATGTAGAATGTACATAGATATATGTCTTTATATTATAAGGTAGTATAATGTAAGTAAATAGGTACTATCAGTGTATGTTGATTATTCCATTCATGAAATGCCAAAATTAAAAGTCACAACCTGCTTATATGATATACACTATCGTTGACCCCCATTTTCCTTTCATGGACCCCCCAATTTTTCCCACTTGACATGGACCCTCTTCAGGTTGTCGTCGACCTCTGGGGGTCGACATAGACCACTTCGGGAATCACTGCTCTAGACAATGCACACAAATGGCGGATAGTTGGAAGACTTGAAGCGAGCAAATCACAGGCCATAAGTTGTAAGGAACTTTGAGTTTCAAGAAAGGTGGAGTCTACTCTGTGGAAACAATTCACCGAGACAGGAACACAGTGGTCTGCCGATTTGGTTAAGGCCGCAGAAGGGCAACAACGCCGGTTTAAGACGGTTATTTGAGACTTTTAGCGAAAAGGAATAGGTCCACGACAGCAACAGATCTGTCTCGCAACCTGTATAATGCATCAGGAACATTTAATTCACGGATAACAGTCACGCAGAGACTGCAATACAGGTGGCATGTATACCAGGTGCACTGTAGTCTGCATCCCCTTGACTGTGGGTTTGACCGTTTGGCATGGTGTCTAAAACACCTGTTTAAGACAGAGGTTTATTGAGGGTAGGTTCTCTTCAGTGATAAGTTGCGATTCATACTGGAAAGCGACTCGAGACGTGTTCCTATCTGGAGCTAACCTGGGAGTCGCTATCGGTTCCCAGGTTAGCTCCACCATTCGGCTCCCAGGTCAGGGAGTCGAAATTAGGACAGTAGTTTGAAACTTTTTTTGGCATTCATCAATTTATTTATTTATTTTAATTTATTACTTTTTTTTTGTTAAGGGCATCTACAAAAATTTTCCTCAGAAGGGAGGGGGGAATTCAACCGAGGAAAAAAAAAACATTCCTCAAATTATTACAAATCATGTTTCAAATTCGTTTCTGTAATTTTTGAAATTTTAAAAAACAATTTTAACAATTTATTGATTCTCACTAAAATAGCAAATTTTGAAACAAAATTTGCAATTTTAGCAATATTTAAATTTGAAAAAAAGGAAAGTTAAAAAATTACACTTCATTTTAATTCTTCAAGAAAAATAGTACTTTATTTACATCAGACTTTAAATTCTTTAAATTTTCTACACACAAAAAAACAATTCGCTATTGTGATTTTATAGTTTTCTTTTTAAGCAAATTTTGTATGAATTTTGTTTTGCAAATGCATCTTGCAAACATATTTTAGCTATAAAATTTTAAAATACAACTCTCGCGTCCAGTTTATTACTTTGAATAAATTCAATATTACATATAAGAAAAATTATTACAAATAAGCAATTATTTATTTTTTGTAGTTTTAATTCTTTAATTCTTTAAATTTTCGACACACACAAAAACAATTCGCTATCGTGATTTTATAGTTTTCTTTTTAAGCAAATTTTGAATGAATTTTGTATTGCAAATGCATCTTGCAAACATATTTTAGCTATAAAATTTTAAAATACAACTCTCGCGTCCAGTCTATTACTTTGAATAAATTCAATATTACATATAAGAAAAATTATTGCAAATAAGCAATCATTTATTTTTTGTAGTTTTTCTGGAGAAATGGTTTAAAGAATAAAAAAAAATAACTAAAAATAAATAAATAAGGGATTAAGAATTATTTGCATCTCTAGTAAAAAACTAAAAAATCTTAAATATTTCAATTTCCTATCTGGGATGAAACCATTTGGTGAAAACTTTCGAAACACTTTTTATTTCTATGTATTGACCAGTTTACTTATAACACTTTAGAATGACAAAATGTATATTTTTGAATAAAAAAATATCAATTCGCAAACCAAATATCCTTTTCTCTCTGCATTATATCAAAAAGTTAACACAATTTTGGCAAAAAAAGATTAAAATAAAATTCCGTTGTAAACAACATCACTACACCCTATGACAAGTTCTGGGTTCGGCAGAGAAATCAGGAAATGATTATGTTTTTGCAATCCCTATTTATTTAGAAGAGAAGCGTAAACTTGACAGCTAGGGGAGCAAAACAAAAATCCCTGTATACAATCTTTTCCCCATAATGATTAAAAAATGTTTTTGTAACTTCATTTTTCTTAAGTGTCTGATTATACTTAGAATTCTTGGACGATGATCATAAGAATCATTGAAAACATTTCATTTGTTTACTTATTTTCTAACTGAATTGACAACTGCTTGACTGACTAATTCATAATACAACCTAATGTTAAAGTTCTATTTTTCTACTTCAGAATATTGATTGTATGTAAAAGATATTAATTCGGAATATATCCGTTTAGTAATCTGTCGCGCCAACTACAAGAAGCCAAGTGGATTTTATACTTGCAATTAAAAAATAAAAAACACGTAGATGTTTCCTTGGGGGTGGCTACGAGTTATACTTTTCTAGTTGGTTCCTTTCTGTGATTTTTTTAAATTTATTAATTTTTTTAAGTATTTCGTGGGCAGCTGCCCGGAAGTTGCCAAGACTTGGCGATTATTCTGCCACATATCACGACACGGAAATCTCCCCAAGTATACGATAGAAAAGAATTATGTAGGGGAAATGCATGAAGTTACAAAGTAAATCTAGTTCTTTTAAAATTGTCTTTTATATAAACAGATTATATCATTTGGTTGTTAATGGTAAAACGATATATTTTAAACTAAACATACACTAAAACATATATTTTTAAAAAATTTTTAATATGCTATTATACTCTCTTTTATATTTAATAAATTAAATAAAATAATATTTGACCTCCTAAAAACTGGACATACTAACGTAGTTCACAAACACTTCATATAAGGTATTATAACGTACGTGATTACATATTTAGCTTATTTCCACCAACTTGGGCTTCGTATTTTTTATAACTTTTTGTGGGGTCATTGTTTTTACATAGGATTGATGTCACAGTTCTTGATTAAGGAATTAAAACACTAAATGCCATAAATTAAAAATTTTGAAGGGCAATGCAGTGCTATACATTTTTTATAAGTTCAGTTATTATTATATTTTTTGCTTATAGGTGAAAGATGAAATCGAAGAAGTTGTTCGGCGCTATAACAGAGACTTACTGGACACTGAATCAAAATTAAAACATCACCTGGACATTTATTTAAAAAACGAGCTTCGAAGTATGCGCAGGCTAGAACACGATTTGGAAATAGAATTAAACAATGTTAATAGCAACTGTGATTTAGTTGACAAGTACGTCAACAATGGAGTTGACTGGACAGATGTTGAACTCACGGACTATAAAGAAATTTTCCAGAAAACTTTAGAATTCCTAAGAGCTTTCGACTCAGATCCGGCAGACTGTGTTCGTAAAGTAAAATTCCATCCTCGGTCCGACCCCGATGTGATTCACAAAACTCTAATAGATTTCGCCGAGGTTAAACTGAACGAAGAATCAACACCGAATCCCAATCAAAACGAAAATCAGCCATTGCAAAATGGCGGGATGTATAACAGTTCGAATAATCTTAACCAGGGTCCTACAGTTACCCTGACCCCACCCAAAACAAACGCTTTGTCAAGGAGTCAAAGCGACCACAAATTGTGTGGTCAGAGGCAATCTCAGAAGCGAAAAGATCAGGATGACAATGAGAACGCTTTATCCAGAAGATTTCGGGATAAGTTCGTTCGAGAAGATCGTGATAGCAGTGAGAGAGACGTACCTAACAATCGTGATCATTCTCCATCTTCCTGGAGAAGGGAACTGGAAGAAGTGAGGCACAATCAGAAGAATCGATTCTCATCAAGGGAAGTCATTGATGAAAACGATGATTCCGACACGCCTTCTCGAAGTCGATCGGCCATGGAAGGACAGGCTTGCACAGATCACGTCAGTGAAACTGAAGATGCCACTAAAGGGCCATTAAGTGGGGTCATTCGAATACTGGACAGTCCTCACGTGATGGAAAGACTTCACCATAGTGAAGTGAAGCAGAAAAGAATGAAAGAGGAAGAGGAACGGAAGGCTAGAATGCCGCCTCCTGCTCCTCCTCCTGTGTCCAGACCTATGACTCGACAGCTTAGCGAAGACGAAATCGAAAAACAAAAGAAAGAAAATAAAGCAGCTGCTGCTGCAGCTGCAACTAGCTCCCCAAGTACAACAGCTAAGGTAATTGACTCTTACAATTTCTTTTTTATTTTGCATTAATTTGGTTTCGCAACCGTTATACAGTAGCTGACGTTGCGCTAGCACATCACTTTGCAACAATGTAAAAAAGAACCTTTTGGAGAAATTGGTAACAAATAAGTGAACTAAGTTGATAATTTCTGATAAGGCGTGCATACCATGAGCACAATTCTGCCGTGCAATTGAAAAATCAACTTCAGCGAATATATTTTTTTTTATATATTTGGCATCTTTGTATGGTAAATTACACGTCACAAAAAAAATTCTTTTTTTTTCCAAAACTAAATTTTATTCTACAGTCAAACCCCGCTATAGTGAACCTTCAAGGGACCGAAATTTCGGTTCACTATATCCGTTACGCAGGCAATTTCACTAATGGTTCCCAAACTCCTCCCTTTTATTACATTATATTCATATAAATGACTGAAAAATATTATGTAGTAGCAAAAAATGTGTTATTTTTCATCACTCTTCGTCTTGCGTACAAA